ATATATATATATATATATATATATATATATATATATATATATACGCACACTGGCAAGATAAATAAATATAAATGTATATCTAAATTTATATACAAATATATGAATATAAATATACATATATTTATATATTTGTATACCTATGTATAGATATATTTACATATATATCTATATATTTATATTTATTTATCTTGGGGGCTAGTAAAAAAATATATACATCTATATATATATGTATATACAGTAAAACCTGAGAAAACCGGACCCGGAGAAAACCGGATCACTGTCCATTCCGGACGATATTCTCAGTCCCTTCTCATTTCAATAGGCGGCCTGTGTTAAAAGCCCACCCTCTCCAAACCGGATCACTGTCCATTCCGGACGATATTCTCAGTCCCTTCTCATTTCAATAGGCGGCCTGTGTTAAAAGCCCACCCTCTCCAAACCGGATCACTGTCCATTCCGGACGATATTCTCAGTCCCTTCTCATTTCAATAGGCGGCCTGTGTTAAAAGCCCACCCTCTCCAAACCGGATCACTGTCCATTCCGGACGATATTCTCAGTCCCTTCTCATTTCAATAGGCGGCCTGTGTTAAAAGCCCACCCTCTCCAAACCGGATCACTGTCCATTCCGGACGATATTCTCAGTCCCTTCTCATTTCAATAGGCGGCCTGTGTTAAAAGCCCACCCTCTCCAAACCGGATCACTGTCCATTCCGGACGATATTCTCAGTCCCTTCTCATTTCAATAGGCGGCCTGTGTTAAAAGCCAACCGGATCACTGTCCATTCCGGACGATATTCTCAGTCCCTTCTCATTTCAATAGGCGGCCTGTGTTAAAAGCCCACCCTCTCCAAACCGGATCACTGTCCAAACCGGACATTTTTTACAGTCCCATGGGTGTTCGGTTTTCTCAGGTTTTACTGTATATACACACACATATGTGTATATGTATATACATATGTATATAATGTATATACGTATATATATTTACAAATATATTTTTACATTTATATATTTTTATCTTGATGGCTAGTAAACCGGGCTGCCCGAGATTACGTTTTTTTTTTTTTAAGCAGTCTGATATTACGCTTTAAAAAGTAATCCCTTATGCTGTAACAAAATAAATAATCTAACAAAGAATGTACATAATTATCAGAGAGAGAAAGTGATAGAGAGAGACAGAGAGAAAGAGAAAGCGATGTACACACAAACACACGCACGAGGGAATGGTGTCCTAGATTATGATGCTGGCACGGAGTATAAAAGAGTTCAACATCAGTATTTCCTCTCAAAGAGTGAAGCGGTCGCATTCATCATGGTATTTCTGTCCCATCTATTTTATACCTATTCATTCATGTTGACGTTATAGACCAGTGTAGGGTTTCATTTAAATATAAGATAAAGTACACCATTAGTCCTTAACAATGTAGAGAATTGAAGTTGAATGTTGGTGTATATTTAATCATATTTATAAAATTTTCTCCTCAGACACATCAAATGCAGCAGATGCTCGTTTTTTCACTGCTTGGTTTAGCTTTACTCGGGGTGTTCCCATTGGTGGAAGCATGTGACACCCCCTGCCCCACCAACCGCTTTGGCAAGGAAAGATGCTGCGATGGTGTTCCTCCCAATGGTAAGGGATCAATCTCACATCCATTCTACGTGTCAATTGCGTACAAAATGAGAGATAGATTGTTATATATAAATTCCTAATCTTTGAGATACTGGAAATTTGCTGAATGTTGTGCAGTTGTTAAGATTATGTCATTTTGTATATCCTCAGACTTTCCGACCTGCCCCCCTATGCCTCGAATTGAGGTTGACTGCAGTGACAAAACTTTGTTTGAAAAAGAAGTACGAGTTCAGGTAATTTCTTCATTATTTTACTTGTGTGTTTATCACCATAATCGTAGTTATGATAATAAAATTCGCCTCAGTATCTATCCTCCCTATTAAGAATGCCACACAGCTGGAGATACATTTGTCGGGTCCTATATTTTTCTGTCATACATTTTCAAGAAATCTTTCGGCTTATCTACAGGCTTTATGGCCAAGGCCATATAAATTCCACTTCAACATACCCCTACCTTCTTAGAGGCAGGGTATTTATACACATATGTGCATAGTATATACACCGTGTATAAACAGCATAATGTGTGTGCATCTATTTGCACGTGTAAACAAGTTTACTGACATAAACAATCGACAAACTGCTTGATTGCACTGCACTTAATGTTTCTTCTAATTCCAACTTCATATATTGTTTTTCACTACTTTCTTGCCGTTGTCTCTACAATACCTTCATAAATTGAAGTGAAAATGACCGTCACAATTATTAAGCATTTTTGTACACAAAACATAGGAGAAATGAACGTCATAATCACTTCCTGTTTTTCAGTTAGAAAATTATTATACATATAATAGCACTACAAATCGTCAGCATTAGTGTGATAATGTTATTAATAATGATAATGCAAATATGTATGTCTATAATAATAATGGTGCTAATAACAATAATAATAAAAAATAAAGGAAAAATCACAGTAATGACTATAATGATGATAATGATAATGACATTAATAATACTACTAATCATAAGGCTTTTCCTAGTAATAATAATTATTATTATTATAATAATGCTAATAGTAATAATGATACTAATAGCAATAATAATCATTATTATAAGTATTGCAGGTGGTCCATTTTCTAATTGCCAAACTTTATCCTCACAGACATGTAAGAGTGACCGCGACTGCAAAAGCAATGAGAAGTGCTGCAAAGACATCTGTGGATCGGGGCATATCTGTATGCCTGGCATCAATAACAGGGACTTTCTGTTCCGTTAATTTTTTTTTTTTTTATTCATAAGTACTTGAAAAGTTTATTTGAATTGAACTGCAAAAGTCAAGTAAAATATCTGGTTAATTTGGTGTTTCACTTCTGCTGTGGTATACAACTCTTCTAATAAATTTGAGTTCAAAGGAGGCCATCCGATGGTAAGATTGTCATGCTGATGATTCATGATGCATTGCTAGTGATGCAACTTGTAATGATAATATGATAATGGCAATAACTAAAACGCGTGTCATATAAGTGAATAAGTGATAATGGTAATGATAACAAGTCATACTGATAATGAATGCCTTTGGTAATGATAACAATGATACTATTTCCACTACCACTATTGATTCTTATTATAAAGGTCTATGTGTTTAATTTATTCTTTCGGTTGGTAATACGAATTGTATTTTTCATTATTGATTAAATTATATTTAACAATTAAGCTGATGTGCTGTTGTTACCGATATAACACTATAAAGGAATATGACGCAGTTATCCAGTTATCATAAAAAATATAACCGTTTTTTCATATATGATCATAACTTATTTATATATTGATGTTTATGCTAAATTATTGACACAGGCAAAAATACTAGATATCTAAAGAATAATTATAGTTAAAGGTAATTAATAAATATCCAATAAGAAATTGATATAAAATATGTGAAAATAGTAAACAAGCATAGCATCGGTGTTCCACGCTAGTATATATATGGTTTGAGCATAAAACCACACTGACTTTTTTATTTCTTTTATAGTAACAACATTATGAGATAAGTTCTTGCCATTGTTGCATCAGTGTAATGAACCAAAGATTGTGCTTTCCTGCAGCAAGTCAGATAAAAAAAATACATAATCGATATACAACTCATGAATAAGTTAAATAATTAGAAAAAAAATATATCCAATGATTTCGGAGCTGAATTGCCATTCTAGAATTATACATCCTACAAGTAATTATAAAGTTCTTCATTTTCATTTTTTATTATATCTATATATAGGGCAACTGTCAGGATACTGTAGTAGGTATGAGAGGTCATTCAAAGTCTTACTTCTTTTCCGATTCGGTTTGTAGCCACACATATTACATACAAAGTGATGACGTACAACAAATATCATCTACCAATTTCCTCATTCACTATCAGTGCTATTAATTATTGTCCAACGAGTCTTGCCGCTAATACCACTACGTTTCTCAGTTTTAGCCTTTGCCGATAAAAGATCTACTGAAGATCTTCAGAATGCTGCTTTCTTAGAATTGGATTTATTCTACCATCATTGGAGGCTATTCTGTTCCATATGAATCGAAAGAACTAAGGCAGTGAAGGCGTCCGATCGCCACCTCAGTGGCCGCATCCACATCCACATTTATTTATCTATTTATTTTATAAAATGTTGCCAGTTTGTATTTCGTTCCATTTTTTTTCGACTAGTTTTCAGTATGTAATAGAAATTCAGCAAATACAAGAGACCCCATTGTGCATTACTCTGATAAAACCAATAAAAAGTAAAAGCCGTACCACTTATCATTGCTACCACTAGTCTTATAAGGAAACTGTGAGATCAAATGGAGCTCCTTACAGCTGGTG